GGTCTCTTTGGGTTGCATAGCCTGAAACCCCACCTGGTATTTTTTAAATTTAATCCCTATATTGAACGGATGCCATTTACGTGCTGCCCGTAAGGGCAGTGAGAACATGATAGCCAATGCCCTATCGCGCAGTGTCGAAACTGTAGGCACAACGTTTGGGAGTCTGACAGGATTCGTGACCACCGAGTTCAAATCAGCTGTATATCAGGCGTTGCTAGAACATGTACGACAGAATCGAGACTAGCTACCAAATTTAAAGGTTGAGGGAGATGTGCACTTCAAACGCATAGGATTCATTCACCTGGAAGACAAATTAGAAGGTACCGGGTGCCAAGCTCTTTGACAGCCGTCCTGATAGCGAAAGCTCATTTAGATGAAACGGCTGGCCATAGCCATATTTACTGGCCCAACATGACTAGACGTATACGGCATTGGGTACGAACTTTCGCATGCAATGCATGTGTTTGGGAAAATCGGTAGTGATCAAGCGATCGTTCGAAAATATCGATAATTTCATAAAGTTTACATTTTTAAAAGCGATGCGGGATGTAACAGCCTCTGACGTAGTAAACTTCTTAGTCAACGAAGTCTTTTAGAAGTTTGGAGTACCCGAGGTTATTCACTCTAATAATGGTTGCCAATTCGTAGAGAGAGTTCTCATTTGAGTGTGACACGTAAAAAATCTTAAAACCGAACTTTCCACCGAGGATGCTTTAATTTTGCGAGAAAAAATATGTGAAACACCTATCAGATGCAATTTGACAAAGACCTTTGAAAATGTTTTTGAAGTCGATCGGATGGGCGATGTTATGTTATGTCAGCAGTCATAATCTCCCTGTTCTTACGATGCCAAAATTTTATTGTGAGAAAGCTCTTTACGAGCTCGTTCCGGAATGGGACGAGCGTGGGGAAGTCGCAGTGAACTGCGTTTACAACATTTGTGTTTATCGCCGATTAAATTTCGTCGATAAGGGATTTGGTATCGGTAAAATTGATATTGGGGCAAGTCTTTTCGCCAAACAAATTCATTTTTTTTTTCAATGGGAAGTTTATTCCCCTAGAATAATCTTACTCCCAAAGCAATTTACAGGCTTCTCTACCGTCGCAATGGTGTACGACTTGGATATTTCGCTGTGTATTGTAGCCACATCGAATTCAGGCTCATTGTTCCCAAGCGCATTGATATTTTGGCGCGATCAAGTATTAGCGACGTCCGTGAATATGTTAATGTCTCTCACCCAAGGTTCCAAGGTCCAAACAATAGCTAGTAATCACGCTTGATAGTTGCGTAGTTCAACTGCCCCAATGCCATAATTTGATGCATCAGTAGTCAATTCAAAAGGATTTTTATAGTCGGGATACGTTAACAGGACATCTTCCGATCCTAAAACGTTGCTGAGTCTTTAGAACGCGTTACATTGAACCATACTCCGTTGGTTGGAATTTTTTTCGAAGTATGTTTACTTATGGATTCACTTTTCTCTTTTAAGATGTCTGAGAGTGGCTTTAATATAGCCGAAAAGTCATTCATGAAACATCTGTAGTAGCCAGCCCCAGAAGTGGTCTGATGAAGTGTTTACGGGCGATTCAAAAAATTTTAGAACAGGTTTGCATAGTGCTGCAGCGCCTTACCTGAGAACACAAGCAGGAACACCATCAGGGTCCGGTGAGTAAGCCGGCTTGATTGTGTTAAGGTCGCTGAGAAGCGAACTTTCCATATTAATGGGATTTAAGGAATAAGGTTGATTTTTAGATTTTTTTTAGAGGAGGAGTAGGTTGTTTAAAAAGAGTTTGCGAAGAGATCGGCTATGCCTGGATCAGTATTCGCGCTCTCATTTGCAAACTTAACTGAAGAAGGTAAAATACGTTTAGGATTGAAATAGTTAAAAAAAATGCTTAGGATTATGTGAAAATTGAAGGCGACAATGACGAAGGTAATACTTATAGTAAATGGAACTTGGAGTAGAAAAATTTAATCGGGCAACGGCATAACGGAAGAAATCAGAGTGATTTCCCGATTTCTTAAACTTTTTATAACACTTCGACCTCACTTGAGGCCTGTCAGGTCTCGCTGGGTGATCAAAAGGAACGCAGATATCAAAAAGCGAGTACAGTGTATCATAAATAGTTTGATGGCAACATCAAGGTCTGCACAATTGTACAGTTGGCGAGGATGAAATGAAATCGGTCGATAGCTTCGTGTTTCGACTGGTAAAAATAGTTTTTGTTTAGACGACCGGAACTAAAGAGCAGGACTGTGAATGCCGCTTACTTACTACTGTGAATGGTGTTCTTCCCACAGAGGGTGGGTACGGCTAAGTGCGGAACCGGAATCAAGCTTAGGCAATAATAAGTGGATCAGTAATAGTTTTATTAGTTTTAAAACTCTTATGATTGCTTTTATTTATCTTAGTTTTCGGCTGTTCACCCCTTGTTCATTTTTTTAGGGTTTTTTCTCTAAAGTGTTGCATAATCTATCGCTAAAACAGTTTTGTATAGCAGAGTTGTAAGTTAATTGGACTCACCCGGCCAGGGCCAGACTAATTAAAAGTGACTAATTAGGATTTTTAGTGCGTGGCAGCTAAAAGTGATAATGCTGGCCACCCAACGCATGCTGAACAAGGCGACGCAAGATAACAGGCGACAAGTCATCGAAGCTTTGTAACGGGAGGAGCCTATAGATCAACGTGCGTTCGCGGAGAAGTACCAGGTCGTAAAAGGGACACTATAGGACACTGGAACCTCTTTTGATTCCAAGGTCGAGGATGCCGGGAGTAAGTAGGAGAACTGGGATGAGCAGCGCGGTCATACGCTTCGATGTAAGGACAGCAGATAACAGTCGTCTAATTTTTGGTCGCATCGTTTTGCCGGAAAAATTACGGTAGTAGAAAGAGAGATCGTATGTTACTTGTGCCCAGATCTGCAACAATGATTGTACCACAGAAACGCCAAGTACAGCGCAACGGGGTGCCTCCGTTGTGCCAAAAAGCTGCGATGGCTCTCGGCCCGCAAATTTTGTGACTTAGACTCGAAGTAAAACTGCCCGTAGTCCGTGTAAAACTCAAGCAACTACTGCTTACCACGTTCGATTGAAGCCGCCAACGATGCAACCAATAAGTACTTCAATTCCAAAGCCAGGACATAATTGCGCCAGATAGTTTCGGTGGACCCGTTTCTTTCGAGGCGTATTTTGCGTTGGGCTGCATAGTTATTATTATAGACATTTCATTGTATTATTAAAATAATTAAAATTAAAATAATAAAAACAAACTATTAATTCAAAAGACAGAAAAAAATAAAGAAAATTTCTCAAAACAACAAGTGCAAAAGCAAAAAACTTAATACCAAAAGGTATAAGGAATAAAATTACATTGCAGCAAAAAAAAAAAACAGTTAATCAGATCGCCTAGGGTATTGATGCTGATTAAGAATATATTTAGTTTATGGGGTCGGAGATGCTTCCTTCTGCCTGTAACATACGTTTTCACAAATACATTATACCTTTTTAGACATTTTTATTGGGTTCAGGGTATAAAAACGAGGGACTACACAATAAATGTTAATATAAGCAAGCATATAAAATCAGCAAGCTAGAAATCAAAACTCCAATAGTTATCAAAAGAACTGTGCAAAATGAATATACCAAGTTAAAAGCCAGACTGAAATTTTATTCATTAACGCTCCAAAAAAACAAAGAAAATGCACCTTAAAGCAAACTTTTAATGAATATACCGACAATAAGTACTTTATCCCATTCATGGATGAAATTCTAGACAAATCAGAAAGTTATCAATGTTTAAAACTAATGATCTTGTTAAAGACTTTCGCCGAAGCCATAAGGGCTTAAAAATCCAAAAACAACCTTTTAACGGTTTATGAACATTTTTTTGAATGATTTGATCTAAAAATATCGTTTGTTTTAGCCAGATGAAATAATTATTTATTACACTTCATTGAAAAAACACAGCTAACCTTAAGCTACATTTGGACTAATAGTCTCTGTCCACTGGTTTAAGAAATGTCACATTTTCAAATTTCACATATTGGTGTTCCACCGGCTGTCGGTACCATGTGAGTGGCAAAAATACCGTTTCTTTAAAAAACAGCTGATCGAGTTTCTTTAATTTACATAGGCGTCGTGAAGTTCTTCCTTTAAAACTCAACAATTGCGATCTCGAAGTGAGGGCTTCATTTTAGGTCCTCTTCGAGATTTCGCCATGTTTAAATTCTAAAATCTGTGGGACTATTCTAATTCTAAATTTCTTATTTAATGTTGATATATCAGCTGTTTATGATTACGATACTTTACCATTTTTCACAACATCGATAGAAATCTTGAGTAATCATCGCAAAAAACTCTAAATGTTCGGGGCGAATTTACACATTTCTGAAAAATGTGCCTCTTTGAAAAAGGGGTGAGAAATGTGTTTTCTTATGGGAAAACGCACAGGGCGCATTGCACACATTTGTCCAAAAAGTCACATTCATGAAATGTGTTCAATGGTCAGAGGGAAATAAAAGAATTGAGAAATGAAACCGAATTTATCGGTCAAATAGCAACAACTATTAAAAATAAAATAAATACCCTATCAAATTTCCCATCCCGAAAATACTAAAGCGAAAAAAATCACTTCTAATATTGTGTTTAGATCCTATCATATTGGAATAATATATCAGATCCTTAGCCATCCACAAGCCATTGGTCCGATTAAACAATACCGAAAATTTTTAATATGACAATACAAATCTGATAAATCAAGCTAAATAAGGAAAGAACATGGCATATGCTATTATTGTACTTATTAGGACCCACAAATATCAAAAAAGCTTGCGCTTCTATATTTTCCGAAATCTAATGCGTATCTTAGTCCATTGCAGGAATACCGCTTTTATCTGTGACAATCTGAAACAAATCGTTCTTTATATCGATGAATCGAATTTGCCTTCGTGTTTACGTATCGTATAATTCTCCTTATGCCCTAGCTAAAAGAGCTGCTCACCATCAACAAAATATGCAATTTTGCAAATGTGTTGATGGGTTAATGTAATAATATATCGGGACTGCCTGCTAAATAGGAATACCATTCAATTTTCAGTTGTGTAATAAATATACAAAAAAGGTAAAGGAAGTATGTATTTTTAACAATAATATTTTTCTGAATATGTTAAGAGAAGTGAGTTGAACACCATGCCGGGAATCGGATGGCTACGACAAACTCATGAGTACCACTGCCATTTAAATCGTAATTGTTTCTTTGATTATAGTCCAGATAAAACTATGTTTGTATACAGTGGCTCACAGTTTGTTTTAAGCAGTGCATATTGTATGTAGGCAGTTGTTATTTGGATAAATATACATGTAATGGTTGTATTAAACTATTTAATATTATGTTCAATGAAAGAGTCTGCATTGATGCCACCAACTTTTCCATACATTTTCTATTACAATAAGTTCTGGACATTGATGACTCCAAGTCCAAGCAGTTATGAATCAACCAGGTCTGCACAATGTGATTGTTGTCCATGACAATTTTTGCAATTTGTATTTTTTTACCTGTACATCATTTCTGAAATAAACAAATGGAACTGACCGCTTTTAAAATGGCTTTTTTCACATTGCTCCACATCCGGACACTCACAGTAATAAAACAGCACAAGACGTCTAAAAACCCCCATTTTTGAAGCGTGGTAAAGTCATAAACTAATAAAGTATTTTACAACATAGAAGTATTTGCATGAAAAAAGCTGTGAATTACAGTTTTTTTGAACATATTGTTTTTAACGGGCAGGGCTTTGACTATTGGCGCTTTGAGCTTTGACTAGTTTTTTATGTTTGTTGAAGATGCCAATATAAAACAACATTTCAGTTTCGCATGCTACCTATTAAAGAAGGAGTATGCACTGCATAAAATAATCTGTGAGTCACTACATATTCAATAAGAGTGCTTTAGAAGTGCCCAAATAGGCCATATCTTAAACCTTCTAAAAATGTTACGTGCTTCTAAAAAAAAAAATACTTGAAAATAACAAAAAGAAAAGCAAGAAAGAGGTTTTTGTCGGGAGTTCGCGAATAGGCGATACCCTGAACCCTATTCTACTACCACCAAATGTAGCTCGCGTAACGAGCTTGTTTGTTTTAGAAGTAATAAAAACGGCACGCTTTTTAATAATGCTTTGCCCATATCTTTTCATACAACAAGTTAATTTTTGACCGATCGTTCCTATGGCAGCTATATGATATAGTGGTCCGATCTTAATAGGATTTTGCATATATATGAGGAGCTTAGTAAAACTAACAAATGCCGAGTTTGGTCAAGATATCTTGATAAACAAAATGTTTTTTCATATTCATATTTTCGACCGATTGTTCCTATGGCAGCTCTATGATACAGTGGTCCGGTGTTGATAGGATTTTGCATATATATTAGGAGCATAGTAAAACTAATAAATCCCGAATTTGGTCAAGATATCCTGATAAAAAACATTTTTTTTTAATCAACTTAATTTTCGACCGATTCTTTCTATGGCAGCTAAATGATATAGTGGTCCGATCCAGCTGGTTTTGACATATGTGCTGCGTGCAGCAGAAAGAGGGAATTCTGCAATGTTTCATAAAGATAGCTTTAAAAGTGAGGGACTAGTTCGCATAGAAACAGACAGACGGACAGATGGAGGAGGACGGACGAACAGAAAGACAGACCTGGCTGGATCGCCTTGGCTATTGATGCTGATCAAGAATATATGTACATACTTAATCAATATTGAAATCACTTTTGTATTTGCAATAACAGTATTAGCAAAATCGTTCCCTCAATTGTTAATTATTTATTTATGGCAGGCAGAAGCCTGTTACATACATTTTCACATATACATTAGACCCTTTTACTCACTTTTAATGGTTTCTTCGAAAGAAATCGAACTCGTAACAGACCACACTACCTGCCGTCACCTCTACTCAAAAGCCACACCAATTTCGATATCGATTTTTATTGCTTCATTGGAAAGGGGGGAGTTATCGATTATCGAAAACAAACTCGTTCTGCGCGGCACTAGGATAACCTACAGTGAAAATTTCAGTCTCAGCCCTTAAGTTTCTGAGATCTTTGCGTTCATGCATACGGATAGACGGGCGGACCGACATAGCTAGATCGACTCGGCTTATGATCAAGAATATATATACTTTATGGGGTCGACTCGGCTGTTGAAACTTTATGAGACCGGAGATGACTCTATATATGCATTAGACAGTTCAAAATGAATACATCCTCTACAACAGTATAAGCAAATTACCAAACTAAATAACAGACAAAATTCCAATAAAAAATGGCGGTAATAAATATGACATTGATTTTGTATTTGCAAAACCAGTATTAGCAAAACCGTTCCCTTAATTATATATATATTTTTTTATTTATTTATTGTTGACAAAAACGAGTGTCGTCCTAAATATTTATCACATCAAATTATGCAAATTAAATGCTAAAAGCCTAATTAGAATACACAATTTTCTAATAGCATCACCAACAGGATGGACGTGTTTTATTTGCCTGTCCGGTCAGCTATGCCGCTTTTCACAGCTAATTTTGTCAGTGACGTTATTAAAGCCAACAGCTTAGAATGAAGGTGATAGTAGATAAAATAGTATTCTTTAGTAAAAATTAAAAATAATTTTAATTTACTATATTATTTAAGAAAATGCAATAAATATAAAAATAGAAATAAACAAGTTTTTAATATAGTAAGGAAACGAAAACGAGATATATAGAGTGTTAAGTAGATAAGATAAAGAGATGGTGATAGGAAATTTATAGCCTGCCCGGCAAGATATTCCTCTATTCATAGCTGGGAAGGGTTAGTGAGTTCCTGAAAGTATCCTGAAAACAACGATTTTATTGGGGGAAAAGAAAGTTCCACGGAGAAAAGTAATGCAAACTGTTGTATTTTATCATAGCAGGTAGGTTACGTAGGTAGGCAAGACTGAGGATGTCGTACGGTTGATTAACAACGGAAGATTAAGAAGAAGAAGCCTGCTGGAGTAGGGTGGATCCAAAGAGATGGATAGATTCAAAGGATTTATTAAAAAGCTTTAGCAATGGACGAAGAAGGGAATAACTACTCTCCTTGAGAATAAAATTAGGAATATTGTCAGGGCCTGGAGAGTAAGAAGATTTTAAGGAATTTATGGCAAAGGAGGGGGAAAATGAAACAATAGGAGTAAGTATAGAACTAGAAGAAGCAATATTAAAAGGGTACAAATTATTATTTGGACAGACAGAAGAATAAGTAGAGTGGAAGAATTTAGAAAAGAGGTAAGCAGCATCAGAATATTTACGTTTCAAATTTACAAAACTATAGAATTGTCTCGGACTTTCGGCAAATTGCCTTTTCAACGAGTAATATACTTCTTATAGCATTGAGAATTCACAAAAAATAAGTTTTACTTGGCTAAAGAGTATTTAGCCAACTCAATTCTCAAAGTTGACTTATTAAACTTTTTAATATATTAAAACTTAATATTTTTTAAGTATGATAATCTGGGGAGTATACCAGGGTGGCTTAAAAGAATCATTCAAAGGGATTGAGAATATATTTCTCTAAGGGGAATTCAAGGTGTTGTAAAAAATGTAAGAGTAAAATTCATGTAAACTGAGTCTTATAAAAAAGACCAGTCGGTTGCATTAATACGTTGATTAAGCAAGGAATAGTCTGCTTTGCGAAAGTAACGGCAGGAGTTAGTGGTAGATGATGAATGGCAATAAGAGGATTCCAATTGAACATTGAAACCTCTAAAGTAGAATGATATACATCCTCAGGAATCTATTCAAATGAATAGAAATTAAATTGATTTGAAACAACGAAAGGTCTAGCATACAATCAATAAAGTCATGCTGTGCTGAGGGTACTAGATAATTTGCGTCAGTAAATAATGACCATGAAATGTTCGGTTACTTAAAATCACCCAACACTATAAATAGGTGTGAGTGTGAAGAAACTTTTTAATATATTTAATATAAACTTGAATATCAGAAGGAGGAACACAGGAGCATGTGATATAAATATCGCATGATGGAATAGTCACCTTAATTAAGACAATCTCAGCGTTAGAAGGCGTACTAAAACAGAAAGGTTTGACTGGAGAGTGGTCGTTAACGGTAATTCATACCCCACCACTCGAGTCGGCCGTTCATTTCTATGCACAATGAAATCGTTAGAAAAAACTTCAAAATCAGATATGACTAAATTTAACCATGTTTCAAAAAATGGGATTGTATCCGAATCGAAGGAAGTAAAAAGATTGTGAAGATTAGAAATCACATCTGTGACATTTTAATAAAGAATAGAAACTAACTCGGAAGACGGAGTTAGTTTTTTGTAGCAGTAACACTAGGCTCTTATACCAAAGGGATGGGAAGGATAACAGGGAGACGCTGGTTTCGCTTTTTTGCCCAAACTCCTGAATGATCACAAATGATTGGGATCGCATCATGTGAAACATTATTATTAAATGATGATATTTCACGTGGCGTGGAGAAATTAAATTTAGTAATTGACACGCTAGCAGAAGATTTGCTATAAATATAGGCAGTAAATGAATCACAAGTGGTGACGAAACACAAGGTCAGGCGAAAGCTGCGACACAAAAATTTGCTTTCGAAGGCAAACAACAGTTAAAATAGGAGCTAATGGGGTAGTAGGTAATACAGGAGTTGGGCCAAAGGGGCACCGTGATTGCTATTAACAATTTGGGCTAGATTGCGCGTAGGTCTACTTTTGCGGCCACAGGCCGACCGTGCTGAAGCATTTACGTTGTCTGGGACAGGTTCAAATACAGGGTCTACTGTAACTACTCCAGGGGATACCACAGGGGTAATATTCAGACAACCCCTTGGAAAAGGTGATAATGACAGCATTAGGGATATACCCAAGATGCTATGCACGGACAAAAGAGGCGTACGTGATTATACAGATGTAGAGCGCAAATTCAAAAACTGAGACTAACCGGCGGTAGTAATCACAGAATTATGCATCCTGGAAATCAAATTGCTTGTCTATGCATACTGGGCACAATCAACGCCGCCGCAGCCCTTGGCAATGCAGATATCTTGTCGCAATCATGCCC